TAACAAAAAATCCGGTTTAACACATAACTTAGTCAGTTAACTACCTGGCCCACAGCAGAAGAAGATTCTCCATGCTTCAGAGGTACACGTCTATGAGATGCACTTGACAATTGAATTTCCTAGAAGCAGTTAAGAGTCAGATACAAATGATCTACAAATCTAAATCGTTCGGTTGGGTGCGCAGAAGAAATGTCAGAAAAGACATTTATCAATTTGAGTATGTCCATCAAAATGTCGCCTCTTCCTGCATTTATGTTTTTCCTGTTGACATGACATGACTCCTAACATTTTATCTCACAAATCAATTCCCTTGTGTGTTTTCGCACAAAACTCAAAAGAAAAGCCACACCCAGCCTTTGCAAAGAATTAAAAACCAAACCAAAACCACTTCTTTCTGGATGCAAGTTTGTTAGAGGAATTTAAATAACTTGAAGAAGAATAGAAAAAACAGAAACCACATTTGTTCCTACATGTAGGTTCAAATTACGAACCTGGAGATCTTGAGGTGGGCGAATAAACAACTTTGTAATCTTGAGAGTATGTAAATAAACCAGAGATTTCCAACTGCCTTATTTTATAATGATTCTGCCTCCTAAAGTTATTTTAGTGTACCATTTCTTTTTTAATTCAGTCACATGGATTCAGACAGTGACTAAAACACCAGTTCAAGGGTTGTACTTGCCATTAACTTCTTCATCAGTTTAAACGTCGTAAAGTGGAGTCTTTATGTCTAGTGAGTGAAAACTTGTGGTTCTCCTATAGTTAAGCAAACCCAACTGGAACAGTTTTAGGTATGCTCGACCAGACTGAAGTGGTTCTTACAGTTAAGAACTAAAGTGGTTTGGTTCCTGCAGTTAAGCATACCGTACTGAAATAGTTTTAGATTTAAAATGTGAGGGAAAGCTGTATTGCTCAATGTAGTAAGTTGTTTTAGAGATAGTTTGATTCATGACCACCATTAATTGAGGTTTCAAAATTTCCTCTATGGAACCTAGTTCCTCCAACTTTTCTCCATTTTCATATCATATTCCATAACAGAATATCAAGTGTATGACAAATCTTCAAAAGAAATGATAAGCTACAATATGATTATTGATCGTACCTTGTCTAGTTTTCCCAAATGACTTGTATCATCGTCAAACAACTTCCTTCAAAAGGGAGTAAAAAGAAGATATAAGGGCAATTAGTAAGCATCCAGATATATGCATAAACAGAAATATAAATTAAAATGAAAACTTACGATTCAACTTTTTTTTTTTTGGAAGTGAAAAGGAAAAATGTTCAGTTTTAATTTGTACAGAATATTGGTTTTTATTTCATACCTTCCTTTCATTGCAGATGAGGCTGTACTACTTGCCTTCTTTTCAGAAAAGGAGAACCGGGAGACAGGCTGCTTCTTTATAGTTGCAATAAGAGTCCTTGGGATCTGGTTTCTAAGCGATGATGAACGAATCACAGTATTTGCCAAACTTCTATTTTTTCTATTGGCATCTGGAGCAACCCGCTTGGTTACTTGACAAGACCTAGCCGCCAAATTAGCCATGTAGATGGAGTCTTGGCAAAATGTTGCATTCTGTAATGTAAAAAAGATTTGTGAAAACAAGGATGATCATGAACAACTTTCGGAAACAAGGAAGTTATGGAGAATTAAAAAACCCCATTAAAGCCCCATACCAAGCAAGTAATCATCAAAATTCGACTTCGTGCTCCTCCCAAGGAGTCTTGCAGAATGCGTGTAAGCTTACTTTCTCGATATGGCACATGGCTATCATTAGCATTCAAAGCAGAAGCAACATTCAGTAAGGCATATATAGACTTGTTGATTTTACTATTTTCGACGAGGCTGGTGCCATCACAACTTTTCCTTCTTGTATCTTCGTAACCTGATATAGGAGCAAAAAGAACAGGAATTAAATGTAATTGAAGTACTTTTTCCTATAATTCTTTAACTGTCTCATAAATTTAACTACCAGCCATGTCAACAAAATTCATCTTGGCAGCAAAACGAGAATCCGTAGTAGTCTCATCTGGAGATGATATATGCACTATCAAGCCCCTGTGGCTTCTGTGGGGGGGTTCATTTGCAATTTTTTGCGCTTGTTTACGCGAACTAGAACCAACGAAATATAGTCCATAGAAGTCTGACAGAGATTTCACTGGAATCTGAACAACAATTAAAACAAAGTGCCTTAAAGAATGTAAATGAACAGAAAGAAAGATTAGAAAATTTCAACAATCAAGGCAAAGAATATTGATGGCCAAATTAATAAGCTTCAAAATTTTGGACATAAAGGCAAAAGCAGGGTATAACTTGCCTGCGAAAGTCCCTTAAGTTGTATTTTGCCTTGACCATCATCCAATACTAAAACTGTTGGTCGTTTTGGATCCAGTAAATCACACACATGATCCACATAAACTTCATAGTACGATATGGAAATTGATTTCCCTTTTTCTAAGGCCATCAAAAGAAACTCATTTATGGATAATGATGCTAGACCTGGTTTCTCTATAGTGCCCTGCAAAATAGATGGTCTAATTAGTACAGCAAGTAACTTGCAAAAGGAAAGGAATAAAAAAATAAACGAGGTTAGAGATAATCTTAGAACAGAAAATCAAGAAACAATGATCAAAGGTGCACCTGAATCATTGAAGTTTTTGCACTGCCTCTTGCACCATATGCAATAACTGTAGCATTATGGCCATCGAAGACTCCAGGAATCAGAGATTTTACTTCTCTTGCAAATATTTTTTCAGTGTCTTCATTTTGCTCATAGCAATAATCTAATTCGTAAGACTCCTTACGACTGCAAGATAAAAGAATCATCTTTATCTACCAAGAAACTTGCTTTTGGTACAACAAAAGTATATCAGGAATAATTATTTCTCAGAAACGTAATAGTGAATAATGATTCCTAATTGCTTTCCCCTTGACCCACTTAAATAATTCGATAGTAAAAAAAAAAAAAAAGTAGTTAACCATAATACCATAATTTGATTAAATTTCCAACTGAATTAGTTTCTTCTTCTTCCCAATACTTCCTTGATCAATTTTGCAGACTAGTGTCTACCACGCATGACAGAATCCGCGCACAAAATTAATCGATAACTCACAAACAGCAAAGTGGAGACAAAACATACTAGGTCTTGACACCGTACGTGAAAACAAAAAGAAGAAGTTACCTCCCTGTCCCTGGTTGATCTCCAAATGAGATGGTTACAGACTGGGAAGCATCTCCATCAGGCTTGTTCACAGAGATCCACGACGTGGTAGTTCCTCCATCTGAGCTTCTGATCTTTGCGACCACCCGCACCTTCCGTCCCTCGTTGAAACCCTTGGCAGCTCTTCTGAGCTCCAAATTGTCCTTGGTACACGAAGCCATGTAAATTAGGGTTCTGGAAGCTTGAAATTTTTCGGAAGAAAGTGAAATCCAGATGAAAATTGAAGGGAGAAACGATTAATTTTGTCGTGGTTTGCCGTTTGTTTATTCTGTGAAACTATAATTGAGGGAGAAAGAAAGTACCCGTTGGGCGTTTCAAATTTTTGATTTCTTGCCGCTGGTCCTAACGCTCCCTTGAAAGAGATAGCCGAATCGGGTCGGGTCGTGGATAGGGCTTGGTCGGGCCAATGAAGTGTTATTGCAAAGGTGAATCAATTACTTAAAAGGGGAAAAAAAATTCTCAATAGACATTATAGAACCGTTGAAATATATATATATATATATATGGACTATAATAAAATATTTCAAGCATGAAATAAAATTTTCATCCACGTATTAACATTTTTATATGTCCGTAGGTGAAAAGTTGATTTACATTTTTATATTATCTAAAAAAAGATAGACAACATATAAAAAATATCAACAAAATATCACTAACATTTATATAATACTAATATTAATAATCTATAATTTATTTAACTTATTTAAAAAGGACGAAAGGACTATAGAAAGAATATTTATTTATTAATTTAAATAGTTGTTATAGATTCTTTTATTTTTATAATTTTTCAAAAAGTCTATCAATATAGACATTTTATGATATTTCCATAGATATCTTCATAAAATTGAAGTCTTAACATTTTCGTCCATTTTGATTTTTGAAATCTTGCTTGGAAGGGAAAAATGACATTATAATTTTTTGTTCAAATTTGTGAGTCTTAATAGTATACTTTGTTATTAATTGATTCGTCCACATTAATTTTTTCAGTATGGTCTTTGTTAAAATGAATGAATTTAAATAATTTTGATTTTTAATTTTCAAAATTAATGGGTAAATATGATGGGTGGCTGAAAACAATTATATGGGTGAATATAATGAACTTTCTTGTTATTGTTTTTTTTTTCCTTTCAAAAACATGTTTTTTATATTGAAACTTTTAGAGAAGATTTATTTATTTTTTCTGAAAGGAAAAAGAATTTATAAAAAAGATTTCAAAAAGTCAAAGAAGAATAATGAAATTGACAGCGCGACCATCCTCCTGTTTAACCGAATCCAAACTGTCATTTTTTTAAATATTACTAAAACTACACAAATTTATAAATATTAATTAATGACTTTTCTGTACTAAAATAAATAAATAATAACTTTTTAAAAAATATATTAAATAGAAATTATTTTTTATTCATTTAAATATATAAAAGGAAAATTTACCAATTTTAAAAAAGAAAAAAAAATATATATATAGATACACATACATACATATACATACATATACATATATTATTATTTATTTAAAAAATATATAAAATGATCTCTATATACCTTTTTTTTTTAATTCTTCTTCAAACACTTTTAAATGCGGCAACTACTCTACTATTTTAAGTATATGGTTTTCAATGTATTTGGTCTAATTATTGTCAGGAATTTCAAATTTTATTTTTTAATTTATATGTTGTCGTATAAGTAATATTTTTTTATAAATTATTGTACCGATATCTTTTATTTATTAGATATAAAACATCAAACTTTCGAGATTTGATTATTCTTTTATATATAATTTTCTATTTGAATTTTGTAGAGTCTAAAAAAGTCAACAAAAATTTTGGAGATGGATGGTCTGTGTTACATTTTTTTTTTTTACTTTACTTTCTATGTACTATGAATTCCAAGTTATTTTAAATATAATAGTGTACTAAATAAATACATATATATATAAATGTTAGTAAAAAACTCAAATAAAAATTCTAGATCGAACATATTTACTAACAAAAATTATAACTACACTACTGGCCTGAAGATCAACCCAAAGGAAATCAATAAACAGTTTGGCCAATGATGTATATAGGACGAATCCACAACATAGATCTCAACAGCCAATCGTCGTAAGGGATGAGTCGATGATCATAGCATAGTAGTGTATGTTGTTGCCTTTTAACCGTTTCTCAAACAACACGTTGGGATTTTCAGGACGACGGTCGTAACCGCTCTCCAAGGGACGTTGGATACCCAAAATCTATAAATAGAGAGTTCCACCTCACTTCTCTAATAGACGAGACTATTCTCTTTCTGAATAATAGATCAAACTTAGACTAACTTAACTATTAGAGCTGTTTCTCTTCCTATGTAGGTTCTGAGTATTCATCGAGCTATTTCATCCGAACTTTGCGGAGTTGATATTTCTATGATGAAACAGAGGAGATATATAGTTGAAACTCATACGCCACACCCATTTATATGATGAGATTATTCTTTCCAAGTATCCAAACAAAAGTCTTCGCTTACACCACAAGCTCCATATTTTCCTGCCCATCCATTGTTTCTTTCCTTCCAAGAAAACACTACCCAGAAAATCCAAATCCTTCCATTCCTCTCTCTTATAAAATTACACTTTCCCTTTCTTTCTCTCTCCTATTTTCTTCAACTTTTCCGCACAGCTCTCTCTCACATGATGAACATTTTGTGAATTGAATTATTTGATTTTGGTGGGTGTTTTTATCGGATTTTGATATTTCCCGACCAGATGAGGAAATTCAAGATTGTTTCACGATTGATAAAATTTCTTTCGTGCTCTGGTGAGTAAATTCAAACCAATACCTAACTAGTTAAGATAGGTTCAGGTTGACGTTTATATATGTAGGTAGTTGATTTTAACTTTGTTGTTTTTCTTAGTATAATATTTAGAGTGGGTGATCGAACTTACAACCTTTTAATTTTCAGTTATCATTCAATCCTGTGTTATGGACAAAATTTAAAGTGAATAGAATACATTAGAGGAGAATTTTGTATAATTTTTTCTTGTCTCAATTTGTCTTAACACAACCACCCTGGAAATTCAAGACCAATTTTATTGCTAATATTTTAAAATTTTTAATTATACTGAAAATTTTACAAATTAAAAAGTTGGAGCTAAAATTTCAAATAAACTCTGTTTTGTTCGGTAGTTTAGGATGATTTCATAAAATTTCATGAATTACTTATTTAATTTTGTCATATTTTAATATTTAATTAATAAGTTACGACGGAAATCCTGTATCATTAGTGGTAAACCCTCTATTTCTTTTTTTTTTTCCAACCAACAACTCCAAAAAGAAAAAGAAATATAGATCATATCAAATTATTCTCATTTCAAACTTACTTGGTAAAACAAAATTAAAATCATTTCTTGAACTTTTTGATTGTCAAATGGAGGTAAGGAAAATACTGAATACCAACTAGGCATTTGCATGAGTTAACATATTAATAAACACTTTTGATTAGTTGAAATTATTTTCTAGCTTAACTTTACAAGTTTGGTCCTAATTTTTAAAATTGTGTTCAGTAGGTTTTTAAATTTTAAACATATATAATATTTCTTTTTCATTTTCAATTTTGTGTCTAATCAGTATCTCTAAATTTTAAACTGTTTAATAAGTTGGGACATATTTAGACACATGATCGAGCTCTTAAACACTTTTTAAAATTTAAAAACCTATTAGATACACAATTTGTATCGTGAAGTTTAGAGATCTAATTGTGGAAGTTTTGAGATATATTAAAAAAAAGTTGGGATTTTTTTTGAAAAGTTTAGTACTAAATGTGTAATTTAATTTTTACCATGTTATAGAAGTATGTCATATTCAATCTAGGTAAGTTTTCATAGTTATTTTTGTGGGTATTAGTTCTGTTTGCTAGGTTGGATCGGATGTTTGCTTGGACTAGATTTGAAGTTCTCAATGTTGATTTATAAGATGATTTTTTTTCTTTTTCTTATGGCTCATTATGGGTTTAAACTACTTATATCTCAAGACAAATATTTTTTTTAACTCACAACATTATTATTTTGTTATTTATTAAGTCCTTTAAAAAAATTACAAAAGATCAATAATCAACTTTATAAACTAAAAACAAATATTTACAACATGTTTGGGAAAAAAGGGGGTAAAATGCAAATAATTCCCCCAAATAGTTTAATGTGTTTGCAATGGCACCCCTCTATAGTTCTAAAAAACCATAATTTGCCCACATAACATAGTTTCCAACTTATGAAAATGTACCTTTTTATTTTTTTTTACTTAGTGAACGAAATTAATAATAATTATAAATGCCCACTATCAATAGTGAATCAGAAATGATCATTGGAGCCTGGGTATCCACAAATTAAAGGTATATTTGCTTTCTAAAAAAAAGTATATTTGTTAAAATTATTATTACTATTATTAATTTCTCAATGAAGAGAATAAAATCGATGAAACATATTATAACTTTGGTCATTAGAGTTTAAAGTAATTAATAAGTTATTAAATTTGAAATTTTACATCTGATGCGCTCTTCAACTTAAAAAATTGTCTAAGAAGTCTTTTAAACTTTTAATATATATCTAATTGGCTTGAACTTTGAATTTTATATATAATACATCATTAACCTCCCCTTCCCCTTTTTAGAGTTGAAATTTATTAGATGCAAAATTTAGTTCATGAATTATTAGATAATTTTTAATGTTTAGAGATTAGATACAACTTTTAAAAATGGAAGGATCTAGATACTTTAAATTTAAGACACTTCTGAATTTAAGGACCAAATTCGTAATTTAAACATTTGTATATATATTTGTAATTTAAGGACCAACTTTTAAACATATATATGTATTTGTTTGTGTTGAATAGATGGTGAGCCACATATCACGAGCTATCCAATAGGTGTAGACGTGCGGGAGGAGTATGCTAATGCTTTCCGCACTGAATCCTACATCGACTTTTGGACACGTGTCCTTACCTTAAATGATGGAGATCTCACAACCCAACTTCCAGTGGAGTCCACAACTGCAACCCGACTCTCATCTTATAGGTTATTTGCCGAACATCTATTGGACCCAACCCAACCCACAGTTAAAAGGCTCTTGGCTTCGACCTATCTTAGGCCTAATTCTTACTCACTTCTCACTGATTATTTCTCTCACACAGCCAATGCTTCTCTCTTATGTGGGCGCTTACTTAAAGATATCCATAATTTACGTCTCAAGCTTCGTCCCCTTAAAATTACCCTCCACTCCATTGAAAATACAAGATTTTACCATAATTATAATTTCGAACCAATCTTGACCTGTTTGGTTGAATTTTCCAACGCCCACAACCCATTTGTGTCGTCCGCCCCATCTACTCGACGAATTCGAATAATCCAAAGTGGGTGCTCCAATTTGCTAAAGCAACTCGAGTTCAACCGCGACAAGGCACGGGCCAAGCTCAGGAGAGTTAGGTACTTCCAACACGGCTCGGCTGGTTTCTTGGTGGCTTTAACGACATCGCTTACAGTAATAGTCATGACTCATGGAATTGCATTGTTTGTTGCTGCGCCGGGCCTCCTTGTGGCTTCGATAGAGTTGGCTAAGTCAAGGAAGCTAGCCAAACAAGTGGCTCAACTCAATGTGGCCGCAAAAGGAACTTACACTTTGAATAGGGATTTCGACACAGTTGGTCGACTCGTGGCTCGGCTGAGTCATGAGCTGGAACACATGAGGGTAATGACGAGGTTTTGGCTTGAGAGAAGAGAGGATAGACGTCAAGCCATTAGTGAAGTGGCTCGTCAGTTGAAGCAAAACCATGCAAGCTTTAGCCAACAACTAGATGAACTTGAGGAACATTTGTATTTGTGTTTTATGACCATAAATCGGGCCAGAAATCTTGTCGTAAAAGAGATTCTGGATCCGGGTCAACCCGCTAAGGCTCCACATGTATGATCATAATTCAATTCATATATTATCAAGAAGAAATCTCACCTCATAAGAAATTTTTAATTATTTTTCTTCAAAATGCCATATTAATTTACAATTTTGTTTCACCTATTTATTGAGAAATGCTATTTATTCTCACAGTTATTTGAATTCATTCTTATGCTAAAATAGTTTCCTCACAATTTTAAGTACTGTGATATCCATTCCATTCCGAAAATTTTATTTAAAAAAGATCAATTTTAACCTTGAATTTGGCCATGTATATATATTAATTTTGACTTTCTAATTATCAAATTATATCTTAAACTGTTGTAATTTCCTTTAAAATTTTAAAAAGTATTTCCAATTTTTATCCGTTAATAGATTTTCGTTTGAAGAATGATTGAAAAAAGTATTCTAATGTGTGTCTAATGAATTATAAAACATAACGTTTAGTATTAAATTTATAGGATTTAAACAAATGCTACAACAAAACATGCTTTTTAATAATATTTTTCGTGATATCATATATTTAGTATTAAATTTATAGGATTTAAAGTACAAAAACTACAACGGAGAATGTTTTTTTTCTGTAGTATTTTTCGTGAATTATCCTATCCTTTTTGTACAGTGAAAACTGCGTTGTTGTAGTAATGTATGATAACTACTAAGTTGACTCATCTATCAACAGTATAGATAGAAAAATGACTTTGTATCATAGTACGTTTGATTCATTATGCTCTTTTAGAAAACACCTTAAGTAGTACTAAATTTAAGCGTTAGAACTTACTTTTCTTATTTTGTAACTCATATACTCGCCTTCGAAGGCTATCGGTATGCTTCTTTCGACATTCAATTTCTACACTAAAACAATTTCCTTTAAAGTATTTTCACTTTCTATCATTGCATGAATTCAAACAGACGTTTTCCAACTCTAAATGGAGCAGTATCACACTAGAACCTTAACTCTAGAGAAAGTTGAGTGAGGAATAATAGAGGGACAACTCTTGGAGGAATGAGAAAAATGAGAGGTGTCGTCTTAAAAAGGTTTGAAGACAACCCTTTATATACTCGAGTAATTGTGGCTTCAAAATTACACAACTTAATATCACAATTAAATTTCATTCTTAAATTTTGGTGGCTCAACAATAATATATTAATTTCTAAAATTATTATGGCCCTTGCAACATTGCAAGGAAAGGAAGGAAGACTTTATAAAAGTGGCTTTTGACATTCTCAATCATAAGCTCAAACGCTGATCAAGTCTGTTGGTTCTTTCTATTCCGTAGCGATTGTCAACAAAAAGACTTCTGTCTAAACTTATGTTCGAGTTTCTAGGTGGATCACAGAGAAGGAAGATGGATTTCGATTTTATATATTATTTTGAGCAAGTGATAGTTCAACAAAATTGAAACTCCACGTTCAAATAATATAAAGTAGACCTTACTTATTTTGAATCTCGACCAAAATTTTTTAATTTTCAAACAAAATAAAACTAATATATTATCTCAAAAAGATGATAATAAGTAACTGATATGAATCAATAAAAATTTTCAATCTCGTTAAATTTCATCTAAATCAGTAGAATAAAAATGGAGGGAACTATTTCAATTTCAACGAAGTGGAAGAATAAAATAGTTTTATTTATCTTACATAATTATGCATATGCCTTTTGTTGGATGAAAAATAAAAAGGAATATTGAAAATTCAAATCTAAATTTTCTTTGAAGCCCAATCTGGACCAAATTTGCAAACACATTATATGGCCAATATTTTTGCTTTAATCTATCTCTATATTAATCAAGAACATTTTTTTTTTAATTCAACGAAATGTTAAAGGGTGGATTTCAAAATTCTGACCAATTGATGGTATGATATATACATTAGAGTTACGTACACATTAGCTTCTACTAGTTGTAAAATTTAAACCCACAAATTTACATTATTGGAAAAATTGAACCTTATTATAAAAGATTTCATCCTTCGGACAAATTTTCATAAATATATATCGCTAAAAAAAGAATTAATAAATATATTAAATAAACAAAACTCATTTATCTTATTTATTAATTGGACAATATAGATGCATATATACCACTTCATACATTTCATTTTATACTCATCTTTATAAATATATTCAAAAAATTATATCTTTAGAGACGCAGGAAAAACGTTGCTATTAGTGAAAATAACATTGGCTAAAAAACTAAGCGTATAAACAATTATAAGACAATAAATAATCCAAAATTGTTACTTAACTTTTTAACTACCTCAAAAATAAGATCTAATTTATAGAGTTGTGTAAATTTGAGGATGAAATCATAACAATTATTATAACAATTTACAAAAACTTTGTAATTGGGAGAGTGAAATAAAAAGAAAAATACTGAAGTGTTCATCCATCAACATACATATTTTACTAAAAAAATATGCTAAACAAATTTTGAGGAAAAAAGTATGAACTATTTTCCATGTTTTATTCATAACATAGACAGAAGAAATAGTTCTGCTTAATTTTTAAAAACAAAATAATTATTAAATAGAGCCTAAGTAGGGTTGAAATAAGAATACCACTTACGAAAATTAATTTAAGAGAATCGAGAGCGAGTGGACGTTGCAACTAATGTACACTTGGCAACGCATGATTGGATGAAAGGGAACCAATGAAAAGTAGGGAATAAGCGTGAGAAATATTGGAAGGTGGGGCCGGCGCACGTGCAAAGGTTCGGGTAGCGTTTGGGAGTTATTTAAAATGACCCCACAAGTTTTTTTTTTTTCTTTCTTTGAGTTGACCCCAAACAGGCCTTAAGGTCCTCACCTTAAGCATATAATAGAAATTCTTGTACCCTAATTTTAATCATATTATATTTTTCTTCTACTCCACTCTATCACATCAAATGGCCACTTTCATGTCACACCTAAGTCAATTATACATTTAAAAAATAAAATTAAAAATGTTCTCTATAGCTCCTTTTTTATTAAGTTTATGTACGTTTTAAAAAAAATCAATTTCACTTTCAAATTTGACTTGTACTGGGAATTGTATATCGCAACGTGCAACATCATTGGTATATTGCAACGTGAGAATCATACATTGTACTTTTTTTAATTAATTAATTGTACGAGGTTTTTTTCGAAGAACTATATATTTCAACATATAACATCATACGATAAAATGAAGACAAAATTCAAGGTTGTGATTTTCTATTAAATTTGAGGGTACTTGAAAAAAAAAATATTTGAAAAAAATATTTAAGCCAAAATTTTAAATTAGAATTTAAAGGAATTTTAATTTTACCTTAATTTTTCTTAATTTTCTTAATTTTTAAATTAAATTTTCATTAACCTTAAAAATCACACACAGTGTATTTAGTATTCTTTGAAATGTTTACCTACTGGTTCAAGAACATTAAGATGCTTATTATAAAAAATATAATTCTTTAGTTTAAATCTGAAGCTGTACAATATGTATTTTGTAAAATTTAAGATTAAAAAAGAATACATAGACTCATTTGATAATGTTCTCGTTTCATGTTTCTCATTTTTAATAAAGAAAAAAATAATTACATTACTCCAAACATCCATAAATTTAAGAATGACAAAAAAATGTTTTTATTTTTTCTAGTTTGGAACAAGTTACAAGCCATTTTATATTAGAAATGACTTTATTCTAGTCATTCATGTAGTGACACAAATGGAAGTATCAAACACAAAAATATAGTATAAACTCCGCCCAGTTATATTTAATTTGTTCTTTCTTTTTAAATCTATTAAGGAAAAACAATACATCATAGGATGATTTAGTTTAAGTCTTAAGTGAATTATAAACTTTTCTTTTCCTTTTATAAGGTTGTATCGGTTGATTACCATTTTGAGAATATGACTATATAAAGAAGTTGAGAACATAAAATTTATTTCTCTTATTTTTTTTTTCAATCATATTTATAAACCACTTATTTTGACTATTATTTAGGACTTGATCCATAGGTTTCTCTCTTTTAGTTTGAGAAAAACTTAATTTATGGGCGATGAAGGCCCTAAAATCCTCTCTTGATTGATCACCTAGGCTTAGAGGAAGGGAGAAGTTCTTTGAGTTTTAACTTGTAGGTCAACTAAGTAAAGATAAAAGAAGCTTTATCTAAAGAGCATATTTAGTCCAAGAATTTCTAGAAGCTTACCAATAAGATTCTTTAGAGAGTTCATTTAGAAGGATTTCGAGTATTGGAATATAATAACTAAAATTCTCCTTCTATTATTCTCACTTTTCAACAACAAACAATTTGAGAAAGATGTCCACACGCCTAATATTAATGGAAAGATTCATAACAAAGAATGTCTTTCAGGAACTTTTTTCTGTCGTATTAGAAAAGTCTCCCTAATTCAAAACTATCTTACTTTCTTGTTGAATAAATAGTTTTATTCCTAATTAAGGTTGTTAAACGATTGAATTTCAAAAACTGCCAACTTGTTCAAGTTGGTATTTAGAGAAATGAGATCTCTCGACTCGACCCTCACCCATTCTCACCTTCATTAAGCTACTTTCTTTTAAAGTAAGTTTTTGGATAGTTCTAGATGTCTTTGCAAAAAGTTTTGAAGACAAGAATTTATACAGTTTTGTCGATAAAAAGAGGAAAAAAACCTCGAAGTAAGGGTTTGAACAAGCGGTTTGGGCTCCTACAAGGAAAACACACAAAGTGTAAAAATGACACTAAAAGAATGTCTCAAACAATTATGTCAAGCCACACCTAGTGAAAAGAAAGACATTTTTTTTTTCACTCGAAGGAAGCCAAGTGAAAAGGAAGATGATAGAAGAAAAAACTTAGTTGCCATGTGAAATCAATAACTCAAATTGACCTTCTAGTTTCGTTCTAACAAAAGAGTGAAAGCAAATTATAGGAATACACTTATGAGGATGAACTTGTCTTGGTCGTATAAACCTATTCCATCATAGTCATCGATACGTGGATCACAACTTTATTAAGATGGAGTGAAATTAGCTCTGTTATGATGATTTGAGTCAAACGTTTACTACTCGAATGATAATATATTTTAAAGACACAGCCTATGTAGGTACACATGACTCGAAATCGAGCCCCTTTGAAAATTTGATTGACTTTGCAACTCGAATCAATTTACCCTGCTTTAATTTTAAAATTTGAGCCAGTGTCAATCATTTTAAAAAATATATATATTTGAAAGTATGTTTTTTTTATAAAGTAATTATAAATACAACATCACGTTAAAAGTCCATTTATTATATTATTTTAACTACAAAAATTTTATCACCAATTTTGAGCGTAATTTAACATATAAGATACTTAATATTCTTTCTAATTTCTAATTGTTGAGGTTTAATTTCTCATTCTAATTTTGTCTTAAATTTTTAGGTCTCTCTATTACTCATCTGATATTTGACTTTTGTTTTGATGTATATGCACTACTCTTTTAATCATCTAAAACCAAATATAGATCGAACTTGAGCAATTAAATTCTATATCACGATCTCCATTTGATAACAAGTGTCATATGTTAATACATTTATAGGCAATGGTTCTTCAAATAAACCTTTCACACACTATTCATGATTCTTTCCAAGGTCTTCGCCTTACTCAATCCTTAAATTGCAACAATCTTCTTGTTGAATCTGATTACCTCATTGCAATCCAGCTTCGTTGAGGCAATATTTCAACCCTTGGAGATGAATTGGAGCAAATATCCCTAAATTTTTGTACCTCCTCTTTCTATCATCTCCCTCGAGCCTCTTGGTGTTTTGGCCAAGCATAGACTCCATCGAGCAGCCACCTCTTTTTTACTTTCAATGAAATTCTGTAAAAGGTGATACCCTTCAATCGATAGCCCATTCAATCCATTAAAAAATAGACCTTTTACACACAAAGTTTGACATTTTTTAGAACCTACTCTCTCAAATTTATTCCTTTTTGAGTCAAAATTACAGTTACACATGCATGAGATAGTTTAGGAATTAAAATAAACATTTTGAAAATTTTGTGACTAAAATATTTTTTAAAAAAAGTTTAGGAATTAAAATAAATATTTTGATAGYTTAGAATTTGAATGAAATATTCTAAAAGGATCTATGTGACTCGTGTTTATATCAATAGGTTAATATTCTTATTTAAATCAACATCTGTCAACTAAATCGTTAAAATTCAATAGAGACCAGAGTCGAAATTATTGTTATAATTATTATTTATTTATTTATTAGGTTCCAGGACTAGAATAGATATTTAAAAACTCTATGGACCCAAAATGTAAAAAAACTTAGAAGTTGCAAAACTAAATTTAAAAATTTAAAAATTTAGAGATAGAAAATTCATGAACCACCAAAATAAGATATAAACTAAAATTTTATACCATATGAGAAAATTTCATTAAATATTTGAAATGCAAAATAAGAAATGAGAAATTTGTTAGAAAGATGGGGTTGGAGCTTACGGTCGATCTGCTAAAAAATCTATTGATTTAGGTAAATATGAGTCCATTAATCAACTAATTAAAGTATATATCATCGATCATTGGTTGGAGGTTCGAATATCCATATTAATGTTGAAGTCAAAGTTTTAAATGTTACTGTTAATGAAAGTATCGATGTCTCAATTTTATGAAATATTGATAAAAATATCGATATCGATGATTATTTCTAAAAGTTATAAAAAAATAAAAAGATTTCGCCATACTATAAATATATTGATTCACCTATACTAATATCGAATCTATGAACATATGAAAATAACGACATGTTAATAGAAATTTAAGATGCTTTGTGATTGAAAACAAGATATTAAAATAAAAGCCCTTTTTCGAAAAAAAAATTCAAATAAGAATAGAGGGGTAATATATTTACTTCAACCTAAATATTGTTAATTAATTTTTACAAAAATATAATGAGTTTATAATATGAATAATATATTTATTAAGATATTTACTTTTTTTAACATGATTTTCTTTTATATTTGATTGTGTAGGCCATGATTTGAATTCATTTTCTATAAACCTTTGTTATTTACAATGACTCTTGACCACTAAATCATCTCATGATTATAAATTCAAAATCGAAAAATACTGCAAACCTTTAAAAATGTTTGCATAATCTCTCTCATTTCTACCATAGAATTACTCACTGAATTTATTTCATCAAGTTAGTCTAAACAATGAGTAATTTTTTATTCATACCAAAACAAACTTTGATTGGATGAACTAAAAATAAAGAAAGAAGAAAAAAAAAGACAATGCTTTGAAAATGTGTTGTCATCCTTTTCAAATAGTAATCATTTTATTAAATAGATTAAAAAAAATCAACTTTCAGACATTTTCATGTCTCTTTGCTTAGACATACTCTCTGTCTGTCCCCTCTTCTCTCTCTAACCTGTCTTCTCTCTCGCTCTCTCTACCGATCTCTGCCAATCTCAGAATTCAAAAAAAAAAATATATATATATATATATTGTAGAAGTTCATGCTAGTCCCTTTTTTCTTCTTTGATTTTTTGGGCTACAATTTCGAGGGTTTTCATTCTGCATATTCAATCTTCAATTTGATTGATTCCGTCTGATTTGGGAGAAATTGTGAACTGCCTTCACCCGGGGATCTATAGCTCTCAACTTCTTTTCGTTTCAGTAAGTCTTGTATGAGATTCTCTCTCGCTCCTTCACTCGTACACATCTGAATAAGTTAATTACTCAGTTTACTTGAGCTGAGTTAGTGATTTCAACTATTTCGAGTTCAGTTTTTTTCTCCCTCGAAAATTTAGTAGATCTGCATTCTGAACTATTTTTTGTGCATTTTGAGGTCGTAACTTGGCGATTGGTTCCGAGAATATTGGACAGCGGAACGGAGAAATGGATAACAGTGTGCTTGGTTCTTGATTCTGCAACTGTTAGAAGCTGGCTGAATGCCTGCGGTTAGTTTCAATGTAATGGGAGTGATGAACCGAATTATCAAAATTGGGTTGCACTTAATGGGATTCCTTTATTGAAATCTATCTGGATTTCAAGTGGGTACAGTGCAATTTTTTGGAAGTGGATATGGTAATTAATTAGGGATTTGGATAGATGAACCTTTGAAGTTACAAATTATAGAACAACAATGATGATCCTGTAATAGTTTGTATATAAAATAGAAAGAAAGATGGCAGTTAAATGATTTGGGGCTTTGAAAGGTCAGCTGAGAGTTTAAAATCTTAGTTATATGAGTGACCTGCTCATCCACTGACTTGAAGTGTCTGTGTTGAGCCATACTCCACCAAGCCCTAATAGAACTGATTCTTTAAAGAGTTTACTATGGCTGTACATTGAGACTTTAAACAAATGCTGCCACAGCCACCCGATAGAGATTTTTTTGCTTTTTTTTTGCCTCCCATCGTGCTTTGGTTTTTGGTTATATGATTTTTCTGCAATTGTATAATAGGCATGAATCTGATTTGTCTGTATGTGCAAATTGTGTACGGTTAAGGATGATTAGAGTGTTATTCAATGAATTTATAAAAATAATATTTGAAATATTTTGATGGCAATCTATTGATTAATTTAAAGTCATTCATTCTCCTGCAAGTTTGTCTTTGTTAGCATGCGACTTAAGGTTTCTGTGTAATGTGGTAGTTAGAACTTATCTCTTACCTTTGTTGTTACTCCTATATGATAAGATCATATTATGGTTTTAAAATTGCGGTGTAGAAATTAGTTACCAAGTCATATTCTGGTCTTAATATTGTAGAGATGGATTTCCTCTAGGAAATCTTGTGTGCTGATTGCATATTCTTTAAAGTAAAAGAAATATGCCTCCATGGTGGGGGAAGTCGGCGTCAAAAGAAGTAAAGAAGAGCAAGGAAAGTTTTATCGACACATTGCAGCGGAAACTTAGAACTTCTGATGGTAAAACAAACAGCAAATCAGGAGGGTCTCCAAGAAATTGCAACGACGCAGTTTCTGAGCAGGGATCTCGATCTCCTATCCTTTCAAGATCAGTTTCACCTTCCAAACAAGTTTCAAGATGTCAAAGCTTTTCTGAAAGGCCACAAGCACAACCTCTTCCACTTCCCGGTGTGCAGCTGCCAATTGTAGGTCGGACAGACTCTGGGATTAGTATTTCACCTAAACCAAGATCAGAAAGGGGCTCCAAGCCATCATCATTTCTACCACTCCCGAGGCCAGCATGCATTGGTAGGAGACCGAACCATGCAGATTTAGATGCAGATCTTGGTAATGGTTCAGTGTCCAGTGAGAGCTCTATTGATAGTACCGATCTATCCGATTCACGCCATCGTAGTCCACAGGCAACTGACTATGATCTTGGGACTAAAACTGCTGCAGGCAGTCCTTCCAGGTGAGCTGCATATGACATATACCTTGACAAACCTTTAGCATTAATGGGTTATTTATAATGACTTACAAAAGCTCTCTGAATTTAAATTGCTCGTACCTGATCTGTTTGCTTCAATTATTTTTCTGTTGTAGTGTCATTGCTAAGGATCAGTCTTCTACCGTCACCCAACCAAGTTCACGAGAGGCCGGAAAACCAGCAAATATCTCATTAAGCAACCACATTTTCTCCACATCACCCAAGCGGAGGCCTTTAAGCAGTCATGTTCCAAACTTGCAAGTTCCATATCATGGGAATTTATGCATCCCTCCAGACAGTTCCATGTCAAGTCCTTCTAGAAGTCCCATAAGGGCCTTTAGCGCAGAGCAAGTTATTAATAATGCTGCCAGTGCTGGAAAGCTCTATATGGATGTCACTTTTCCTGGATCAGGCCATTGCTCTAGTCCTGGTTCTGGTTACAATTCTGGGCATAATTCTATGGGTGGTGATTTGTCAGGGCAGTTATTTTTGCAACAAAGCCGGGGTAGTCCTGAATATTCTCCAGCACCTAGTCCCAGAATGACCAGCCCTGGCCCCAGCTCCAGAGTCCATAGTGGTGCAGTGACCCCAATTCATCCGAGGGCAGGAGGGATACCAACCGAGTCGCAAACAAGCTGGCCCGATGAGAAACAAACTCACCGCTTGCCTCTGCCTCCCGTTGCAATTTCCAATACTCCTTTTTCTCATTCCAATTCAGCTGCAACATCTCCTTCTGTTCCAAGAAGTCCTGGAAGGGCAGATAATCCAGCAAGTCCAGGCTCCCGTTGGAAAAAGGGGAAGCTTTTGGGTAGGGGTACTTTTGGGCATGTCTATGTTGGTTTTAACAGGTACATAGACCTTTGAGCTATTTCTACCTTTTGTTGTTTGAAAGCATCACATATTGCATCATTTCGTTATTCATAAAGTAAAATTTGTTTGTTGCTCAGAAAGTTACTCGTCGTGCCATAATTTTTCTAGTAAACTTTACTTCTTCCTTTACGAGCACTGTTAATTTAGCTATTGCAGTGTAGAAGTTATTACTTAAACTTTCACGTGAATTTTAACTTATGCCTCTGTTCATATTCTCCTGAGTTTCGTTTATTTATTTATACTCTGATTGGTTTAGTGAAAGTGGTGAAATGTGTGCGATGAAGGAGGTTACGTTATTTTCAGATGATGCAAAGTCGAAGGAGAGTGCCAAGCAATTAATGCAGGTACGTTCCTGATTGATGGGAATTAATCCTTATGGTTTTGGTGCTTTGCTCCCTTTCTTTTCCTCCTCAAATAACTACTTGGAATTAAAATGATTCAGTATTGTTTCAGGAAATTACCTTGTTGAGTCGTTTACGGCATCCAAATATTGTCCAGTATTATGGATCTGAAACGGTTAGTATTATGAATTTTTTTTTTCTCCTTTCTTGCATGCAACCGTTGAAATATATATCAAATTTTGTGATTAATTTTTGCATACTGATATATTGCTCATCATCCAAACAACATGGAGCTAATATTAATTTTAGAATATATTCTACAAATACAGAAATTTTCTTGAATCTATATGTGCTGTTATTTTTCTGAATGATAGAAAATTATACTGAATTTCCACTGGTATAATCTCGTGCTTCCTACTTAAGCTTAAAAATATTCTGTACAGGTCGGTGACAGGCTATACATATACCTTGAATACGTGTCTGGTGGCTCCATTTATAAACTTCTTCAGGAATATGGACAGCTTGGAGAATCAGCACTTCGTAGTTATACTCAGCAAATACTTTCCGGGCTTGCATATTTACATGCTAAAAGTACTGTTCACAGGTGAATTGAATCATCCAAGCATACTCTGGTAGTTTTAAGTATAAACCTGTATTTCGGAGTTCGTTTTCTTGCTTAACTTTAATTTTCCTTTAAAGGGATATCAAAGGAGCAAATATACTTGTTGATCCCACTGGACGTGTTAAGTTGGCAGACTTTGGGATGGCAAAGCATGTAAGCTTTATGATTAGTCTATTTCATGCTTCTGTTCAAAACACATTTTTGCAGATCTTATTTATTTAGGAATAGTACTTTATGTTTCTCTTTTTTTCTCCTTTCTAGTTTCTTAAGGCTTTAGTTTTGTTGTTTTGTTATACATCACGCGTATATTCACTCGTATTCTTATCCTGAATTGCCTTTCAGATCACTGGGCAGTCTTGTCCTTTGTCTTTTAAAGGCAGCCCTTACTGGATGGCACCTGAGGTCAGACCATCTTTCTTTTAACTAAAGCAAATTATTGTTATGACTTTCATTGCTGAAAATTCAACTTGATGGTTCTTTTCAATCTCCAACTGCATTGCTTTCACAGGTTATAAAAAACTCGAATGGTTGTAACCTCGCGGTGGATATTTGGAGTCTTGGATGCACGGTTTTGGAGATGGCAACGACAAAACCGCCTTGGAGTCAATATGAGGGGGTGAGTGGTTTAAACCGAAGTTCTAGTCTTCTCGGTCTTTAATTTTTACTTCTAATTGTTTTTCGCTCCCAGTTGGATTCAGGTTAAACTCATATTTTCTATTTTTTGCTTATGACTTGTGTTTGTATGCTGAGGTCTACAGGTTGCTGCGATGTTTAAGATTGGCAACAGCAAGGAACTTCCTGAAATCCCAGATCACCTTCCACATGATGGAAAAGACTTTGTCAGACAATGTCTGCAACGGAATCCAGCTCATCGTCCTACAGCTGCTCAGCTTTTGGAGCACCCTTTTGTCAAACATGCTGCACCTCTTGAAAGACCGATTTTGGGTTCTGAACATTCGGATCCAACTCCAGGAATCACAAATGGAGTAAGAAATCTGGTACGAGCCCATTCAACCATCTTTCAGTTAGTATCACCACTTTTTTTTTAACAAATGCTAGCTCACATGGTTCTGGATGCTTTATATGCTTGTGAAATTGGTCTATTTGTGCAGCTAACTGGTATGAACTCGAGATGTTTTGATTTTATCTCACCCGAAATTTAAAATGACTTAATGTTAGATGGAATTTGTTAGTTTGCGTTCCTTTTAGTTGAAATTCTTCACTCCATAGACAGATTTGACTTCACCCTTCTGTTGCATTGCATTGAATCTATCTCTTTGTGTGCATGAAATTATCAATATTTACACGCTGATCCTTCGTATAAAATCAAGAGCTCGGACTATGGATTTCTTCCTTTTCTATCTAAAGATCTTTTGGCCAACAACTCTGATTTACTGATAAATGTTAGGGTATTGAGCAAGGAAGGAATCTCAGCTTCTTGGATTCTGACAGATCTGCAGCTCATTCATCTAGACTCTCAACAGCTGCTTTTCATTCCAGGTTCATTTCTTTAATGGTGTGTGTGTGTTGTGTTGTGTATGGGCAAGTTTTCATGATTTTTTTCGTTGTGCCAGTGAAATTCATATACCGAGGAACTTATCATGCCCCGTTTCACCCATTGGAAGCCCTCTGGTGCACTCTCGGTCACCACAACATCCCAGTGGAAGAATGTCACCGTCGCCCATCTCCAGCCCTCGGAACATGTCGGGCTCATCCACTCCTCTCACTGGAGGAAGCGGTGCCATTCCACACCAGCACCTCAAACAATCTCTATATTTACAGGAGGGTTTTGGGAGCTTGCCAAAGCCTTCGATAGGTCCCTATAGTAACGGTCCTTCCTATCACGATACGAACCTCGACATATTTCAGGGGATTCAGCCTGGCTCTCACATCTTCTCTGAGCTGGTGCACCATGAAACTGATTTTCTAGGAAAGCAGTTTGGAAAGCCTGCCTGGGAATTGTACGATGGGCAGGCAGTCTTAGCTGATCGCGTGTCGAGACAGCTGCTGAGTGATCATGTAACAACTCCGTCCCTGGATTTAAGTCCGAGCTCTCTATTGACCAACCGAAAATAGTTGGATATAAGCAACTGCTGGAATTTCATGGACCCATCTAACAGAGGAAGCTCACCAGAGGCTCTCTCTGCTTTGACATACAGAAACAGAAACTGAAACTGAAACATATTGTTTAACTATGAAGAAATTAAGCAGTGTCGTATCGTAGAGACCCAAAACAGACGGATCTGTGCATAAGGTCTGATATCTCAAAAGGAAGAGCTGCAGGAAGTCGATTTCAGTGTCGAGTGGTGTATAAGTTTACTGACAACAATTAACAGATAAAGAAAGGCGAACTTCTTGATGGAAGTAATTAGTGTACGGCCGCAGAAGCTGGCGTTCGGGTAAGAAGAAACGTTATTTTTTGTTGGTAGCTTATGATACAGTGGCATCAAATTGTACAAAATTTAGTACAATTTCGCCTTAGGATTGAACCTGAAGAGATCTATATTATGGCAATGCTCCCAAGCCAAACAATCATTCACGACGATGAAAGCTACACTTTAACATCGTCGAATAAGATGTAAGAAAGATTGAGATGGTAAAATCTCTGCCCTTCTGACCCCCTTATGTCTGAAGCTAATGTACAGGAACTGAAACAACACTGAACTTGGGTTCTAAATTTGTTAATGACATCACCCGATACCGCCAAGTGTGTGCATTTCAGACCCTTGATGCTTCATCTATGCTCGTCGAGAGCATTACTGTATACTGTTTGATCATATTAACTGTATGTATCCACTCAGTAAATCAGGAAAAAAAGGAAAAAGAAAAAGTCGAGTTAATCTTAATATAGTTATCATCTGTTCTCAGAGGAAATGTGTTCCACAGGTTGTTATCCAGCTTGGATACTTCTAAGTTGATTCTCTCAAATTACATCTTCTTCGGGCCTTTTGTAACATTTTTCTCGTCTATTCTTTTTTTAGTAAGAAAAATAGAATTGCATTTGTTAATTGTTTTGTAATCTTTCTTGTCTTGCACTTTAAAATTTTAAATAATAAAAAAAAAGAAGTAAAAGTTTTATATAAAAATTAAAATTTCAAATTAAAGATTAAAAAATGTTATATATTTATTCTTTTTTTGTATTTATTATGCATTTTATAGATTACGTTATGGAAAATTTAAAAATAAGGATAAAGAAAACAAGAATTTTGACTTTGATTGTGTTGTTTTCAAAATTCAATTCGCAAACGTTTCTAAAAAATGAGAAAGAAATAATGAGAAAGAAATAAGAACAGTTATCTAATGCTTATGTTTCTAAAAAATTGAAAACAAAAACGTTATCAAACAAGCTTTGAGACCTATCATCAAAATCACAAGGTGTTTCACATTAAGAAAATTTACACTTCTAACTTACAATTAATAAGATGAAAATCTTGATTCAGATTCACAGATGAAGAAGCAGTGGGAATGATATAAGCTCTTGAGAAATTTATGAAGCAGTGGATATCAACTTTTGGGTGAAGTTCCACAATTTTGTTGCCATTTCACTGTCATTGGCTTGTGAGCTTGCTTTGGCTATGTTACTATCTGCAAAATACTGCCCACTCGTCCCTTCAATTTGTGGATGCAATGCAACATAGCATGTCGTCGCTGCTCCCTGAAAACGGGACGATAACAGTAGAACATGTCGGTGACTTTTTCTACTATCTGATTCAAAATGACCATTACTCTTTAATCGTCTAATTTGAAAGTTCAAAACTTTTAAACATTCTAATTTAGTCTGATTTTCACTAAAAATGAATTATTTTAGTTCTTATGGTTATGGCTAATTGTTTAATAAAATGTTTAACAAAAACTTGATACATATATTTTTTCCATATATTTATCCATAGAGATATTTTTTTTTTTAGTACGGGGTGGGAATTCGAACTCATGATCTTTTGATCGGAGATATGTGCCTTAACCACTTGAGTTATACTCGGTTTGGCTATCCATAGAAATCTTTAAGGATGCTTGTTTGAAGTCACGTGTAGTAAGTTAAGTGTTGAACTTTAATTACTTGTTAAATAATTAATAAAATTTAATGATAAAAAAATAATATTTTTATATAAAATTATGAGCTAAAACATAACATTTGAAAGTTGAGATTCGGAGTAACCAAAATAAAATAAGTAAAAAAAAAAATCAAATATCAAAATAGGATTTGTTTTGGTCTACATAGTGATATATGGTGCCGTAATAGGAGGTCTAGAGAACAAATCTTTGCAACACAACGCCGTTTTTCTGCATTATTCTAAAAGCTGAGCCTCCTAAATTAAAAAGAAAAATACCTAGATGCTAACTAGCAAACACTCTGTCGATCAAAATAACAATTTGACAGCTCTTTAAATTTTCTAAAAATAGAAAAAAATATCTCCTTTACTACATTTCTCTCTATTACTTGACATCAAATTTAATGGTGGTCATTACCTAAATTTCATCCTTGAATAAATTATCTTTGAGGTTACCCTACGAGGAAACATGAATTTAAAACAGCAGAAGCTTAAACTTTGGAATCTAGTTGACTTAATAAACATGTAGAAAGAACAATCAAAAGAGAGGAGATTTAGACCATTACCTGCTGTACATTCTTCATGACATGTTTACCCAGAAGGCCAAGGAAACCTGCATCAAATTCAAGCAGACATTTAAAATGTCAAGTGTTTAGGAAAAACATATGTGATAACGGAGCAGCAACACAACATCGAAATAGTCAATAAAATACGGTAATACTGCAACAAACCACATCGGGAACTTGGCGACAATCATGTCATTTGGAGCACAGTTTGTAAGACAAAGGTACTATAGAAGCTGAATATGCTCTAAAATGAATTGAAGTGAAAGGCAGAGCTTTGAGCAATCGATCAGATGACGAAACTCGATACGGCAAGATGAAAAAGATTTAATACCGTTGACAAGGCTGTGATAACGAAACAGGTTAGTAGGAATGGCTCCAGGATGAAGTGAATTAGCAGTTATCTTCACCCCTTCTTCCTGTATTAAGAAGTAAATGATTGCTTAGTAATAAAGTGTCTATTCCCCTATACCTTCTCTGAGAGTTTATCAATTCAGAGAAGCAGAAAATGGGATAAACAACACCAAATTCCTTAACATAAAAGCTCAAGTGGAATGGTTGAGGAATATTGATCTTACTTTTAATATATTCTTAACAGTTCTTGAGACTCATCTAATTGGAGAGCTTTTTTGTAGTCCTCTTATGGGTCTCTCCCCCTTTTTGTTCTCATATTTCATATTATCAATGAAATAGTTTCTTTAAAAAAAAAAAACGGTTCTTGAGACTCCCCTTATTTCACAAGCAAGTAAGAGTCCGTTTGGTAACGTTTTTGTTTCCCTATTTCTTGTTTCTCATTTTTTGAGAAATATAAGTATTTGATAACTTTTGTTTCTCGTTTCTCATTTTTTAGAAACATTTTCAAAATTGTGTAGAAATTTTAGAAATAACAAAATCAAGTTTTTTGTTTGTTGTTCCCATTTCCAATTTTTTCCAAAAACTAAAATTGAAGTATTATTTTATCATTTTAATTATAAAATGCATAATAAATATTAAAATAATAATAACATAAAAATTTGGAATATTAATTTAAAT